ACCGACGTTGTACTGCTGTTGCACTGCAGTTTAGTCCACCACTTGCCTCACCACTTGACCACTTGCCCACTTGCCTACCTTCTAGAAGGTCTACAGCTAAGCTTCCGGAACTCACTAAGACTCCTACGTTATAGACCTACAGATCGAACCCCTGCTGCCTATGGACCTACGACAGGCCTACCAACTGCCTATGAATACACAGGTCACAGGTTCAATTCTCGGGGCCTACACAGATACTGTACATGGGTAGGGTGAGGTCTAGGGATCGAACCCTGGGTACTGCTTCCGCCACTGCTCAAAGGTGAAAACCGTTTCACAATGTTGCCCATAGGCGAAGAGTTGCAGACAATACACATAGGTAAGGGTTGGATTTGTAATTTGAAATTCTAAACCACTGCACATCATTAGCGTAATGGTAAGGTGATAATGTGGAGGAAATCTCCCAAACCTGACCAAGATGGCATGGAGATGCAGTTGATGTGAGGGTGGAGTGACAGAGGAAAGATGTTAAAGAGATAGGAGAGAGGAGACAGAGATGGAGACAGAAGAAGCAAGAGAATGGATCTTTCAACTGTAGAAAGCCTACTAGAAACCATATCTGAAACTCTCAATGTGGGATTATGTGGCCGTGTGCCAAACCCTGGAGGCCGGATGGATTTCAAGAAGTCTGGAATTCTGTAGCAGCATCAACAGTTTAAGTAACTCACAAGTGACCGTAATTACATTTGCTGAGTTTTCTCCCTCTTCATTTTCTTTCATTTGGACCATTTGTCGATTTGTGTCGTCATCCTTGTGCAGGGCCATGCTAATCTTCTCTGTATTGTACCTATTGTTCCAATTTTTATGGATGTGCTGAAGGATGTTTTCTACGTCTCCTCTTTATGTTTTTTTTTTTTTCCCCCCCTGCTCCTCTCTTTTTGACATTTGTCTCCTCTTTATGACATTTGCGTTACATTTGCTTCATTTTCTCCCTCTTCTCTTTACGTTTCGCTCTCCTTTCATCAATGCAATGCATGCATTTTGCATGAATGTTTCACACCTGCTATCTTCGGTCAATGGGTGTTCAAGGATCCTAACTTAGGTTAGTCACCAGTAACCGTAAAAGGAAAAAGTAGGCCAAATTTAATGATTTAACCAACAGATGTGACTTTAAGGACAATCGAGAAACAAGAAAAGGGATACTTTCCGTTTTCCCAACAGCGGGAAAGGTAGTGGTGGTTTAACAGGTCCTTATGGCCCTGGCTCCATGTCCCATTCTGGGGAGCATCTGTCAGGTTCCTTTCCCCCGGCAAGTATGACCCACTGAACGCTTCCACCCGTTTGAGGCCGACAGAACCTTCTGAGAAGCATTGATTGCTTCGCTGAGGGAGGATTAACTGTCAGTATAGCCTGTCAGTCTTCTTGACTGTCGGTTATACTTGAAGCTCAAGCGTTGTAAAGAATAGACCAGACTATAGCTATTACTTCTATGCCCATATCGGATTCTCGTCACCGGGGAATGCGTCGGTTATGAATGTCCGCTTTCTGAATGTGCCATTTTTTCCAATATAACCCTTGTCTTTCAATGGATGCTCTCTTGCCTCCGGCCAACCAGATCCTTCCAAGCAGGGGATATGGGTTTGATTAACCTAAACTAAGGCACGGCGTACCTCCTGTATATGAATGCATGCACATAACACCACCGGTGGTACTTGCCAAAGCTTTGAATGAACCAAAAATAGGCCATGCACTTGGATCCAGATCCCATGTGATGCTGCATCTTTCTTTCCAGATAACCCACAGGGTTGCCTTCCTGATAATACCAAAGACAATTGCTGAACCTGGTGAGGATAACGAAGTTGGCACCACAACCTTTCGGGCTTTTGGAGGTGGGTGGGGGGATGGATGTTAGTGCATAGGAGAAGTTGGAGGGGGTGTTCCGGAAAGGATGAAGAGAATAGGGACCTCCACAGGTCACTAGCTCTGGCCCAGTACTCTGTTGCTTCCTTACAATTGATCAAGCAATGGAGGATGTCCTCCCTTTCTTGATCCGGACAGACTCTGCGAATGTCAGAGCTGTTCGAGTCATTCTTTGTATGTCTAGCGTGCAGCGACTCATAGAGTGGGAGTGCGCGTAACTGATCAGCCGCTATAGACTTCTTACTGTGATCCAATGCATGGATTTGAGCTGGTGCCATGGGATGCTTAAACCACCAG